GGCTGCGAGGTGCGAGAAAAAGGCTCGGCGACGATAAGGTTGCAAGTGGGCTGGAGACATTGCAAAGAGCGGCGGGGGCGCGGATGTGCTGCGGCTGAGCGTAGCAAGCGTGGTGACTGGCGAGCGGTTGCAGCAGGAGCCGTTGCCAAAAAAGGCAAGGGCAGAGATCCCAGTACTAGTGGTCGTTGCGGGAAGCGGGGCTTAAAACTGGTGTAGAGGGGTGCGCCGCTGGACTCATGAGAAAGGGGGCGAGAGGCTGGCCTGCCAGCTCGGCAATATGGTTGCCGCAGTGGCCGGTGGGCCTTGGTCTTTCTGCGCAGCAGCCGTCCTGGCCCTTCTCGAGACGGCCGATGGCACCCTTCGGCGCCCTACACCCCCGTCCCCGGTGCAAGCCCCCGCCCCCCACCCCCCGCCCGAACCCCCCGTCGCAAAAGCAGGGAGGAGAAGGTGAGTGGCGTGAGCAGCGGGTTTTTGGTCGTAGTGGGAGCTGCTGATGGTGTCGGCTATTCGGTTGGTGGTGTTGTGTGGGATGTCCGATGGGCGCCTCGTCTGCGAACGCTTTTGCTCCTTCGTACACCATGGTGATGACGCTGCCGTCAGCTGGTTTGGGTTTTTTGGGGGCGGTAGTTGTTTGACGGGCGTGTGGGAATTGCCGTGCTTGGGATCGGTGGGCGCTCTCTGTGGCAATCCGTTCCGTGCGGGGGGAATCGGGTGAGAAAGGCTCACGTCCCACAGGGGCGCTTCAGATCCCAACAAGACGGCTCAGACCAAAAAAGGCCTCAACACCAGAACGGTTCAAATCCCAACGAAGCTCAATTAAGCTTCAGAGCGGTCGAAGCGCTTCGTAGCCACCTCATGAGCGCCTCCTGGAAGGCGCCTCCTCGGCTTCGCGAAGGATTCCCATGGTTTTTCTTCGGGCTTTCTGACAGAGAAATTCCTGGGGGTCCTGGGGGTTCCTGCAAGATTCCTTCCGTTTGTTTTACAGATCCCTGGAGGATTCCTGGGCACTCGTGAAAGTGCCTGGAAAGTTCCCAAACGATTTCTGCGGGTTCCTGCCTCGCGGGTTCCAGAAGGGCCTGCAGATTTCCGGAAGATTGCTATGGATCCCTGAGAGTTCCTCAGGGTTCATGAAAGATTTCTGGAGGACTCCTGATGGATTCCTAAAATGGATTCCTCAAAGATTCCTAACCGGTTCCCAAGGCGTGTCGGAAGGATTCTAACAGATTCCTGAAGGATCCCGAACGATTCTTGCAATATTCCTAGGATTTCCTGCGGAATGCTTTGGGTTCTTGAAGATTCCTGGATATTCCCGACGATGCCAAATGAAATCCTGAGGGCCCCTACGGGTTGCTGGGGATCCTGGAGGATTTCTGATGGGATCCAAAAAAAACTCTTGAAATATTCCTGCACGAATCCTGAGGGTTCCTCATGGATTCCTCAGGGATCCTGAAAGACTCCTGTGGACTCCTGACGGATTCCTCCGGATCCGTAAGATTCCTAAAAAGTACTCCTGCGATTACTCTGAAGATTTCTGGCGGGTTCTCAAAGACTCCTTTGGGAATCTTCAAAGTCCCCGAAGGAGTCCTGAAGGACTCCGGGTGATTCTTGGCAGACTCCTGAACATTCCTGAGGGATCCTTTCGGATTCCTGGGGGCCCTATGGTATTTCAACTTGCTCATTGCAGTTTCTACGATTCCTGAAGGATTCCTCAATGCTCTGGGGAATTGGTGTGTAGGCTTCGTACACTTGTTGCGACTGTTGCACAGACGTTCCGTATACGTCTTGTACGCGAGTTGCTCATCTTCTGTGCGAAGAAAATACGCAACGTGTGCGTCCGCATGCGTTGCGCGGGCTTTCGCAGGCGTGCCATTGTCACGTGCTGTCAGCATGCTGCGCACGTTGCGCACAAGTCTCGCATGCGTTTCGTGAACGTGTAAGATACGTTTCGAATGCACCTTTGAGAACTGACGCAAATGTTTGTTATGCGTGCCTGGCGCGCTTTGAACATTTGTGGTGCACGCATTGCGATGCATCTGTACACGCTTCGAATGCGCTTCGTGAAGACACTGTATGCGATGCATACGTTTTGTGAATCTTCCATGCGCGTCGCATATACGTTCCGTAAACTATATGTTCGTAAACGCTTCGCGTCCGTTTCGTAAGCCGCGCGCCTACGTTTCGTGCACATGGTGTATAGGTTTGCGATACGCTGCGGCTACAGTTCGTGCACATTTTGCGTACGCCTCGTAGACGCCCCGCTTGCATTCCGTGAGCCTTTATCGTGCACGTTTCGTATGCGTTCCATATACGCGGCGCGTGCGCTCCGAGTACGTTTCCATACGTTCCGACTTCGTGTTGGCAACACTATGGACACAGCGTAAGCGACGTTGCATGTGCATTACCATGTGAGTTGCGTTGCGTATACAAGCATGTACCTCTTCGTATAAATCTCGTAAATTGGCCGCATGTTCTTCAAGTGCGCGCCCGACGTGTTTCGCACACTTTCCAGAAGCACATGTATAGATACACGTGCGTTTTATATGCGTTCTAGGTACCTCGTATGATATACTTCCATATGCGTTTCGCCTAGACGCCTCACATGTGTTCCACATGCGTTCCGCATCCGTTTCCAATGCTTGTTGCGTGCGTTTCGCTGGCCGCTTATCAGCGCTCCACACGCGCTGCGTACGCGCTTCATTTACGTTGCGCATACGTCCGGATGAGTGTCGCGCACGTTTCGCTGACGTTCCGCTTACGTTCCATCTGCGTTTCTAACGCTTGCCGTGTACGGTTCGTATGGGTCCGGTATGAGTTTCGTAAACGCTTCCCATGCTTTACGTATGCGTTGTGCAGAAGTTTCGCGTGCGTTTTGTCGACGTTTCGTTCGCGTTCCTATACGTTGTTGTCTTGGGATGCGTTGAGCCTAGATGGCGCCGTCCTGGAATACTGAGCACTCGCGCATCGTAGGGCGGCGGGGTGGTCTAGATCCCATCGGCGCGCGATGACGACCGAGTGAGTTCCTTTAAGGGATGGAATTCGGTCTTGGTTGCCAAGAGCCAAAACAAAACTTAAAACCAAGCTGTGTTCCAGCCGTTGGGATCTGAACCGTTCCCGTTGTCTTCCCGTTGGGATATGAGACGTCCTGTTTTGGGGGTCTGAACCGTCCGGTTTGGATATGACCCCGTCGCGGTCTTTTCCTGGGGCGCGGTTTCGTCGGTGATCCGTCGCAGAGCACACCTGCTGCAACGTTAACTCCAGCGGTCACCCTAGAGTCCAGTCTCCGGACGTCGGCAAACTGACCCTGGATAGCAACGCTTGCTAGTGAGTTGGTCGCCGCTGGCAGTCGCGTCGTGTCGCGTTGAGGCGGCGCTGGCTTGGCTAGCGTGTCGCGGAAACTTGTCGTCTGTGAGAGGGGTCTCCACCGCTTGGGTCTGGGTGTGTCTGTGGCCTGGAGAATAGGGTTAGTCGTCGCGCCACCACGATTGGGGTCGGCAGGGGTGGCATCCGATGGTAGAGTCTGGTAGTCGCGAGCGCCGCTAATGCGTTGCGATTGCGAGACGTCTGACCTGGCTGGTCATGGTGGTCGCGGTTCTGGGTCGCGTCGTCATTGGTGAGACTGGTTGCCGGTATGGCGCGTCCAGTCTCGGGTGCCAGGTTGCCGCTGGCGTTGTGGGATGCTGGGTTTGTGAAGGCACTCTGGATCTCCGCGATGACTCGCAGTGCGCCGCCGGGCATGGTCGCCATGATGCTGAGGCAGCGACCGACCGGAGGGTTGCCGGCGATGTAGGCACATCATTCAAACATTATCATTTTGCTGACTAGGCCCTCGATGTCGTCAGGTTGGGCTCGCAGGCACCGTCGGCGTCGGCGTGCTTAGCGACGTGCGCGCCGAGTGCCGAGATGTCAAAGCACGCCGACCGTGCTGGCGGCGATGGCGTCGCCGGCATTGGCGGCGGGGGTGGCTGCCTCGCCGCCTTCGGCGCCAGTGGCGGGTTTCGGACTACGCCCGCGTGCTCGTTGTGCAAGAAACCGCCACGTTGGCGGAGAACCCTCGATGCCATTCTTGGAGTAGGTAGTGGCTTGGATCGCCCCGCATGGGGGCGAAGGCCTGCGCGCTGTAGCATAAGACCTGGCCTATGTAGCTGGTGGGATTGGGCGCGCGGCGCGTTGCCCATGGCCGCGGGGATTACTGCTGGCGAGACTGCTTGAAGGGCGCGCACGGTGCCCAATCCAGCTACCGCAGCCCTCTTGCCAAGTCTGTTTGGCCCCACCTTCTTCTATGGCCAAGTGGGCGCGCTGGCGGCGGTGGGTGCGAGGGCGGCGGAGGGCAGACGGCTGCGCCTCGGTTCGGGTCGAGCGCGGGGTCTGGCTGACAGCCGCCCATGCTGAGGTAGATCAAGGAGGTCCCAAGGGGTCTTCATCGCTCCCATGCGCACGATCTGTCTCCCATCGTCTTGAACGGGGGGGGCTCGGTTGCCCTCGTGCCGGGGGCGACGCCCCTAGGCTGGAGTAGGACGTCAGAGTCGTCAATAAAGATGGTGCAATGCTCGCGGCGGGCTCCGTCCAAGGCTTTGCGCGCCGCCGCCAGTCGCAGGTCGTCGTCCATGCGCGATCGTAGCTGATGCGCGTGAACCGTCTGGACTCGCACGCAACTGCCGTGCGCGAGGATGCCCTTGGACTCGGTCCGGTTGGGTGCTTGTCGCGGTTCAGGGCGCCCCGCCATGTTGGCCGAGGTCGGAGGATGCCCGGCGGGCGGCGCGGCGGTGATATCGACCTCTCCAGTCGTGTCCATGCGGACTGGTTCGTGCCATCCGCGTCACCTTTCGGAGGCAAGCGCGGGTCGTCGCTGGATGGTGGGCCGACCTGGAATTGGTCGCGAGCGCGGAACTCATCGCTGGCAGTCGGTGGGGCTCCGCACTCTGCTCTTCTAATTTTTCCCCGGTAACTCCTAGTCGGTGACGTCGATGGGCTCGGCGAAATTTCTGTTCGGGTCGTCTTGATCAGTGCGCGGCGCAGCTCGTGTCTGAGGCGCCAGCTTGGAGCTGCGGGGCGCGAAGACACGATTGACGCATCGCCCTGAAGGCGCTCGCGCCGAGCACGTCAGCGCGCTGCCCGAGGAGCTGCAGTGTCTCACTTGACTCAAAGCAACTGCTGTTCTCCTCTGCGGCGCGGAGCATGAAGTCCCGAAGCTCGTACTTCTGCTTGCAATAGGTCCTGGAATTGGTAGCCATCCCCTCGGAGTCCCGGATAAGAGCCCTCTTGTGGACCTGGGTCGCGAGGATCCTGCGGGCCTGCTGACTGTTGGCGAGCTCTTCTCCGCGGGGCCCCGCCGCGCTGGCCCGAGGTAGACGAGGTCGCCACTGGCCATGTTCCCTGTTCTTTCCCGCGGCAGCGCGGCGATCAAGGCCCCCCTCTCGGTCTCGCCCCTGTTGGTCTTGCGCCGCGTCGCCGCGCAGTGGCAAAGTAGGCGAGTCGGCGGGGCCGACCAGTGTCTGGCTGGGTCGCTGGCGATGGGCGCAGTTTGGTTCCGTCGGAAGTTGCCCTGAAGATCGTCGCTGCCGCTAGAATGGGCTTCGCGTTTCCATCGCGGGTTGGCCGCGCCGATGAACGCTGGCGCGCAGCGGTGATTGCGCAACGTATTCGCCCATCCCCTGGCCGCGCTGGCCGGGGTGACTACAGGTCCAACGTCGCGCGTGACGTGGGCGCATTCGTGCGTGAGGGCGGTGGATGCTAAGTAGACTTGCGCCCACTCTGGAATGCAAGCTGCCGGCGCTGCAGAAGAAGGGTCGAATTTGCGGTCAGCTGGCGGTTGGTAGTCTAGGACAATCTTTCCTCGGTCGCCCCTCTGAAGAAAAGTTGCCCGTGGTTGGTCTGGCTGTCGGAACTCTGGTGGGGCGCCCACGGCAGGGTCCTCCTGGTCGCACCTTTCGACATGGGCGACTCGCCGCGCGTTCTGAGCGCCGTGGCCCCTGTGGCCTTCGGTGACAGCGGTGCCAGATTGAGCTGCGAGAGTAACCTTGGGCAGCCAGTTGAAGGCGACGTGGTCACCTGTGCAATGTAACAGCGAGCAGCTCACCTCGGTCTGGCACTGTTTGCCCCACCTGGAATCCATGGGCGGTTTCACGGCGCACGGCGCGAGTCCTGGAGCGCGCTGGGGGCAACGCGCCCCTCGGTTGGTCTGGCAGGAGTGGACTGGCCGCAAACCCTTGAGAAAGATTCCGCGGCGGAGCTGCACGCGTCATTACATGCGTGCATGGTTCCACCGGATCATTCGACCTGTCCCCGTAGACCGATCTGATAGCATGCGGTTCGATCGGAGGGAAGCTACTCCCCGAGTTAGGCGCGCGACAAAGGCTGGCCCGCGTAACTCAAGATGTGAGCTTGGGGCATCACGCATCAAAGGGACATGCCCCGGGTAATTGCGGGCCGCGCCAGGCCAGTTCTAAATTCCTCCACCGCATGAGTGCCCATAGTTGGGATAATCGTCGGTGGTTCATGCAATCTGTGAAAGTCGTAGTCGGTGTGTCCGTGAGCGCGGAGGGCCTCGCATTGGGAGCCTGCGCTCCACTCGCCGTCTGTTTCTGTGACGTGCCATGTTTGTCGAATCGCATCGCTAATCGCTGCTGCAAGGGATTGGCACATCTGGGATGGGCAAGTTTTGGCGGCCGTGCTCCGCCATGCACTGTCCTCGTTGCGCCCAAGTAGGGGTGGGTGGGCAGTTCGTCCACGGTTGCACCCCGCTCGATAAAGTAAAACAATAATGCGAGCTGTGAGTCCTGGCGTGCCGAAGAACAGTAGGCTGGTTGGTTTCCTCCAGATCTGTCCCAAAATACGCTGGTCGAAAGAGACAAGGCGTATTCCTGGCAGCCGGAGTAAATGTTGGATCTCTGGCAGTAGCCAGCTGCTTGGTGCTTGCCGTCTGTCGCGGGACGTCTCTGGGTGCTCCATTATGGCCGGGGTGCACGTGGCTCTCAGCAGTTGGTTGCTCAGGTAGAGCTGATCGTCTTCTCGGTCCGTGGTTGATATGTGGTTCGTGGAAGTCGTGGTTGCCATTTGACGCACTTGCCCCATCCAGCAACGCACTGTAGCCCAATGTGTGAAGTCGCCTCGTGTGGCGTCGTTGGCTATGCCTACGTATAGGACGTAGGTACGGGTGCTGGCGGGTGGTCGGAAATGATCCGTCCCCTCTTGCCAGCTCCACTTCTCGTCGCTGTCCGCTATGCAGATGTCGTGCCACACGTGTGGGTCCCCCCTGGGGGCGTTGCACGGGTGGGCTCGTTTCGTCGGGGTCGTCGGGGGGTGGCGTCACTGGGGGGATCCTCTCATGCGTCGCGTTATTGCCTTTGACGTGGTCAGTCCCGACGACGGTTTTGTAGCTCGCGGTGCTTCGATTTTAGCTCGCTGCGTGATCCGACTGTTCTGCCGGTTGTCTTCCGTCGGCTCGTCCGCGAGCCGCAGTGCTTCCTTGTTTCCCTACCCCTCTTGCGCTGCAGGCGTGTCCGATGTGACTGATGTATGGGATTGAGCGCGATTGGTGGGTGGTCTAATCTCGCGTTCGCACGCACACTCGGCTCGCCTCCTGAGGGTTATCAGGGCGTATCTGCCTTTGCCGCCGGCGACGCGACGCAAGGGAGCGGACTGGCCTCAGGACTCCGCATGCTGCCCCTGCTGCTGCCCTCCCTCTCGCTCTCTCTGGTGGATGAGTCTCTCCTGTTCGTGCCGTCTCGCGCTGCAAACACTGTGCATTGACTTGGCATGCGGCGAGGGTCACCAACAACTTGCCTATTGTAGGGCCGCCTCTCGTCGCCAGACTTTCTGCTTCGACGGCCTTGCCATCCAAACAAACGGCCACTCCCATCTCGCTCGCTCCCTCGCCCGCCTCCTCTCCTCCCCACTCCATCTTCCCCTCCTGATCCTCCCACCCCTCCTCCCTCCTCCTCCCACCTTCTCCTCTTGATCTCCCTTTTCTTCCCCATCAGGGCCTGGGGGGGGACGCTTCTTCCCCCGGCGGGGTGGCGGCGGAACATGTTCCATTGCTTACAACCGTCCACAACTTTAACCTCATATGCTGTCAATGTTGCTTCTTTCGGCCCCTCAATGTCGCCCCGTCCATGTCGAAGCAAGCCGAAACGCGGTCTCGGCTGGTGCGACTCCGAAGTCCCACGATGACCTACATTGGAGAGTGGGCGCCAACAAGTACTTCGCACGTATCGCGCTCTGCAGGCCTGGCCATCGTAGAACTTCCGGGTCGCGCTGGCCCAGACCGAGTTTTGGTATGCTTCGACATTGGCGGGGGCGACATTCGGGGATGGACAAAACTCCTTTCAATAAAACGTGGTTTCGTGAAAACGACCTCGGGCCCAAAGCTGGCGGGCGCAGGCCTGGAACATGACGGCCCCGGCGCCCTCTCGAGAACCGAAGACGGACACTTCACCACTCGGCGTGTCGGGGTGGGGGCTCTGCCCTGACCTTCCGGGAGGGCTAAAAACTAGCACCCGACTTAAAAAAAACCTATCCCTAAGCTATTCTACGTCTTGGTTTTTTAGGCTGTTCCGCTCAGCTTTTTAGGTTTTTGGTCTCCAGTGCTAACAGAATAGCTCTCTGGAAGGTCAGGGTGCCCACCCCTCAGCCAGAGGCGACCCTGCAAGGCCTCGGCCTACACCCTGCGAAATGCTTTAGAAATCATGGGTTAAGAAATTCATAGTCTCAGAATTGGAATAAAAACCCAGAACGTCTATCAAAATCTTAGGATCTGCATTGAAACATTAAGAATAATCGAGACTCTGGCCGAAAACTTTGGTTTTCTTAAGCATCGCCTAAGAGTGTACAGCACCGCGGCCACTCCTCGGACCTCGCCCCGCCGCCCTCTGCTCCCGCCTCCTCGCGCTTCCTCCCGCCACCCCTCCTCCCTCCCTCCTCCCTCCTCCCTCCTCCCACCTCCCTCCTCCCCCTCCCTCCTCCCTCCCTCCTCCCCCCTCCCTCCCTTCCTCCCTCCTTCCTCCCTCCTCCCTCCCTCCTCCCTCCCTCCTCCCGCCCCCCGCCTCCCGCCTCCTCGCGTGAGGGCGGGCGTGGCCTCGGGGTCGACCGCGGACGGGTCCTCCGAGGCCAGCGGGAGGTGCGCGGCAATGTCCGCGCTGGTCCTCCGCGCGCGAACCGGAGGAGGCCGTCGGAGGCCTGTGGAAGTTAAGCGGAGGTCTCTGCAATCTTCGCGGAGGCCTGCGGAGGCCTCCGGAAGTTCCCGGAGGCCTTCGGAGGTCTTCGGAGGCCGCGGGAGGCCTCTGGAGGCCCCCGGAGGCTGCCAAAGGTCCTCGGGGGTCCTCCGGGGTCTGGAGATGCCCATGGGCGGCCCTGCAAGCTGAGCGTGTGGGGAGGGTTTGGAAGCGGAGTCCATGGTGTGGCACAATCAGACACACTGGTATCGCACCCGCAGGGGCGACTGGTAGACGTGCAGGGCCCTGCCCCAGAAGTTCCCCGTACAGGAACAGCGCCAATGCGCATGCTCATCGCGACGACGTCGAGCACCGCGACCGCATAATCAATCGCACAACGTGATAGAAACGTGACCTTTCGCCCACCCGTACTGATGCTCCCTATGGGCACTTGCGTTTTTGTCCCCCACGCCTCTGTGCGATATCAGCAGGTCCGCCCTCAACGCATCCCGTCTCTAGGCCATCCTAGGCCACATAGGAGGCCACCAGGCCACCGAGCGACAGCGGGGGCGCGAAACAACATGTGAGATCTCCTGTGCAACTCCAGTTGCTCAGCATCCGCCACTCTCTCAGATGACCACCAGACTTGACGAAACTGGCGGAGCCGACAAGGGGCGGCCATGCTAGGATGATTATGCACGGGGTGTGGATCTATCGCGGCTGGGCTTCTCACGCTCTCAAAGCAAGTGCGCAGCGGTCGCCCTCTCATGTAGAAGTGATTGGCTGAAAATGCTGTACCAAAACACATTGAGAGGGCGGCGGGCGTCGTTGGCAACCGCCATCGCACCTGATCGGGACCGCCCGAACTCCTGCACAAGAGAGCCAGATAGACGGGCGTGGCACGAAATTTGGAACAGAACCCCAGCGTTGCATGCAACAAACAGCACATGGAACACCAACTTAACACAACTTCGCATCTAGGGGATGCTAATCCGCCACCGTGCCTCTGGCACGAAGTGGCGCGTCCCAAGGCTTACGCAGCCCTGAAAGGTAAGGGGTTTGTAAGTTTCTTAAGGGTCTCGACTCCCAACTTCCCAGGCGCTCTTGGGTGGTATTGGGCGCTGTCGGGGTTTCTCGCGTGGGCCTCCAGGACGGTTCCCTCGCTCAGGAGGGCCCCAGAACGGGCCAACAAAGCTCCGCGAGGCTGCCCAGACGGTTCAGGAGGGCCCAGAATCGCCAACAGATCGCTCCAAGACGCCCACGATGGCCTCCAGACGGCCCAAGGGGCCTCGAAGGCGCCCCAAGAGGCCTCCAAGAGCACTCCGAAGAGAGCCTCAAGATGCCCAAATGTAATGTCCTAAGGTTTTACGTTAGTTTGGCGTTCTCGCCTTTTCGGCTTCCCGATGCTCCAAGACGGCCCAAGAGGCCCCCAATGTCGCCCCAAGACAGCCGAATAGTTCTCCAAGACTGCCGCAAAACGGCCCCAGAGGGCACCCAGACGGCCTAAGAGGCCTCCAAGACGGCCCACGAGGTGCCCAAAGCGACTCAAAGAGGGGGCCCAGACGGGGGACCCGAACGGAGATTTGGAGCCCTCGGCCCCGAGAGGCCCCCAGGAGGCCCCCAGAGGCCCCCAAGAAGCCCCCAAGAGGCCCTAAGAAGCCCCCAAGAGGTTTTCAGGAAGCCCCAAGAGGCCATGAAAACGATCTCCAGAGACTTCAAAACTGCCCCCCAGAGTCCCTCGAAGGTGCTCCGAAGAGACACCAAGAAGCATCCCTAAGGACCCTGATCCACAACCCAGGCCCGGTGGCGGGATGGGCCGAAGCCCATTCGCTATCTTACATCTACAACATCACTCCAACGATGCCAAACCTACAACACACATGCACATAGCCACATCGATTCGTCAACCTTACCCGTGCAGAAGTGCCGCATCCAGACGTCGCATGTCATGCGTGCACGCGTG